AGTTGGAAATGACCTGCTGGTCCATGGGCTGCAGGAGAGGAGTGGTATTAGGAGGCAAAAACTTCACCTTAACCCTTTGACTGTCGCGGTCGTATATGTACGTCATAGGAGATACCATGTTTGACGTATCTATACGCATAAATTCTTGCGGCTTCAAATCAAGCAGGAGAAAGCTGGTAGGCCCACATGTGAGAGAATGGGTCTCCATGGTCAGTGTGCACCATATAAAAAAAATCGGGGAGCCAGTGGTGCATTGTGGGAATGCAGCAGCAGCAGCAGAGCAGCAGCAGCAGCAGCAGCAGCAGCAGCAGGCACACAGCAGCAGCAGCAGGAGCAGCAGCAGCAGCAGCAGCAGCACAGCAGCAGCAGCAGCAAACATGCAGCAGCAGCAGCAGCAGCAGCAGCAGCAGCAGCAGCAGCAGCAGCAGCAAGCAGCAGCAGATCAGGGAGCAGCAGCAGCAGCAGCAGCAAGCAGCAGCAGCAGCAGCAGCAGCAGCGCAGCAGCAGCAGCAGCAGCAGCAGCAGAGCAGCAGCGCAGCAGCAGCAGCAGCAGCAAACAGCAGCACAGCAGCAGAAGCAGCAGGCAGCAGGAAGCAGCAGCAGCAGCAGCGCAGCAGCAGCAGCAGCAGCAGCAGCAGCAGCAGCAGCAGCAAGCAAGCAGCAGCAGAGCAGCAGCAGCAGCAGCAGCAGCAGCGCAGCAGCAGCAGCAGCAGCACAGCAGAGCATCAGCAGCAGCAGGGAGCAGCAGCAGCAGCCCGCAGCAGCAACAGCAGCAGCAGCAGCAGCAGCAGCGCAGCAGCAGCAGCAGCAGCAGCAGCAGCAGCAGCAGCAGCAGCAGCAGCATCAGCAGCAAGCAGCAGCAGCGCAGCACAGCAGCAGCAGCAGCACAGCAGCAGCAGCAGCAGCAGCAGCAGCAGCAGCAGCAGCAGCAGCAGCACAGCAGCAGCAGCAGCAGAGGAGGCCGCAGCAGCAGTCCAAGCAGCAGGCAGCAGCAGCAGCAGCAGCACACAGCACGCAGCAGCGGCACAGCAGCAGCGCAGCAGCAGCAGAAGCAGCAGCACAGCGCAGCAGCAGCAGGCGCAGCAGGAGGAGGAGGAGGGGAGGAGGGAAGATGCGACGAACAAAATTTGTCAGTGTATTTGTCTGTTGCCAACTCCTGTCTACCGCAGTCTGTTCAGAGGAGCCACAAGATTGTGTCGTCATCACGTTACTACTCTAAAGCAGATTAGCACTTATTGGATTTTTGGGTTTCCTGTAATTTACACTATGTATAGTTGTTTTATGTGTACCTGGTGGACAGAGATAGACAGAGAGAGAGAAAGAGAGACAGATTGAAAGAGATAGAATGAGGGAGAAAGATAATTAGATAAAATGGAGGGGGAAGCAGCATCCGACCCCATTGTTTTGACAGGCGGTAGGGGAGTGAGTAATGAGACAACATGTCATTTTGACAGTTTGCCGACTCCTGACTCAAAAAAATTATAAGCCACACACTCGCACACAAGACAAGCTTGCTAAAGGGGTTGATAATAGCAGTTTTTATGAAAGTATCTAGTGACTATTATTTGTATATATATTATAGAAACCAGAAGCAAGAAGGGAAGGCAGGAATGAAGGAAGGACTAGATGAAAGGAAGGAAAAAAGTAATGAAGGACAGATGAAGGAATGTAGGAAGAGAGGTGGAATGCCCTCCAGGTAGCCTCCAGGTAGGAAAGGAATGAAGGAAAGTAGGAAGGAAGGAATGATGACACAACGACCATTTTACCTAGATAACTACATAACGCAACTGCCTGCTAATACTGTGAAGAAAACTGCTCAGACCAGGTGTTTTGTCTTTGTACATAAATGCGCACACACTGATTTTATGTGTGAGTGTAAAACACCACTGTGTATGACACCATGTTTTATGTGTGAGGAGTGTAAAACACCACTGTGTATGACACCATGTTTTATGTGTGAGGAGTGTAAAACACCATTGTGTATGACACCATGTTTTATGTGTAAGAGTGTAAAACACCATTGTGTATGACACCATGTTTTATGTGTAAGAGTGTAAAACACCACTGTGTTGACACCATGTTTTGTGTTAAGAGTGTAAAAACCAGTGTAGACACCATGTTTCACAGATTCCCAAGGGGGCAAACTTTAGGAATATATTCAGGCGTTATTGGTTATATATTATGAAAATAGTAATAAAAAATTTTTGTATTTTTTGTTTTTGAAACAAGTTTTGTAAACAATATATTGAAATTTGTTTGTGTGCTTTTGTGTTGTATACAACGGTGTTATATTTACATTGCACCTTATTTTGGGGTCTCACAGGCCACATAAGTTATGTGAAAAAAAAAAAGGAAAAAAAACAAAAAACCCTTAAAAACAATAAACTAAATTTTTACCGGGGTGAGCGGCAGCCCCGTGTGCCATAGTGGCTCTTTTTCTGCAAACTTCATGCCTTATATCTCGGAAGTACTGAGGGGAAAAAATTTTTTTTTTGGGGCTAAAACAATCAGAAAAAAAGCTTAACATTTTTCATAAGAAAAAATAATTTTTTTTTTTTTTAATATTTTCGACCCAGGTGACACTTTAGGTTGGGCCCTTCGACATCAAAAGGGGTTTAAAGAAGCCATGTCCCTAGAAAGTCGTTTTCTGCCAATCTGAAAGGGTGACCCGGGATTGTCTAATACCGAGGCACTTAAAATTAAAATTTTTTTTCAATTAGGTAATTTTTCACTTGGGGGCGAATGCATGGTGTAAAGCCATATAAAAATCCTAGTGACCCTTTCCACGTTTGCCCCCCACGCCACCAAATTAGCCCTTTAAACACTGTTTTTTCCCAACCTCGGGGGGTTTCAGAGTGTGCACCAATAAAAAGGGTTTACTTTGCAATACCTACATTGCCCATAAAAAGTAAACCTGTCTTTATAGGGTTATTCCTGGGGGGCCTTTTCCCCTGGTAATGTACGTCCGGGTTGGCATTTTCTTTCCAAAACAGGCCTGTTTCGTCACAATTAAACACTTGTTCAGGTTTCAGTCCTTCACTGTCTATGTACTCCTTGAATTCCTGCACATATTTTTCAGCCGCTTTGTGGTCCGAACTGGCAGCCTCACCATGCCTTATCACACTATGAATGCCACTACACTTCTTAAATCTCTCAAACCAACCTTTGCTGGCCTTAAATTCACTCACATCACTAGTTGCTGGCATTTTTCTAATTAAATCGTCATGCAACTTCCTAGCCTTTTCACATATGATCGCTTGAGAGATGCTATCTCCTGCTATCTGTTTCTCGTTTATCCACACCAATAAGAGTCTCTCAACATCTTCTACCGCTTGTGATCTCAGTTTCGAAAACATAGTTGCACCTTTGGCAAGAACAGCTTCCTTGCCCACAATAGTAGTGATGGTTGATTGGGGTTTCGCATACAACCTGACCAGCTCAGAGACACGCACTCCACTTTCATACTTAGCAATGATCTCTTTCTTCATCTCCATAGTAATTCTCACCCTTTTTGCTGTAGGGTTGGCACTAAAAGCTTTCTTGGGGCCCATGGTGACTTATTTTGTAGGTGCAATCACTACAAAGGCTGTGATAATATGAAATGTTCCAGTTGTATGTTTGGAAGCGACCGTGGTGGCTGGCTTGTAAACACTGGCACCCACGGGACAAGTGAGGCGCGCTCTGGCCAAAGTGGACGCGTCTCGTACAGAACGAATAGCGCTGGTTGGGTTTTTAAGCGCTAGTCGAGGCAAAATTTTTGCTTTAAAATGTATCGCTAGTCAGATTTATCGTTAATCGATGCCATCGTTGGTTGAGGGTCCATTGTATGTTGTGCGACAGAGGTCCAGTGACTCTGAAGCTGGTCCTAGTGGCATTGAAAGAAGAAGGGAAGTAACCCCTAAAAAGGACTTGCTACCTCAAGTCCTAATGGAAGGGGATTTCCCTTCTAAACACTAAGACCATCCACACTCTCCCCTCCTCCCATCCCATCAATCATCACCAGATCTTCAATAAAGGTAAGTGTCATGTATTGTACATCTCTTCTTCAGTTTGTGTGTATTAAAATTAATAGTTCATGTGTTAAAAATTTTTTTTTTCATACTTTGGGGTGTCTTGCATGGATTAATTTGATTTCCATTATTTCTTATGGGGAAAATTAATTCGCCTAACGATAATTTCGCCTAACGTTGAGCTCTCAGGAACGGATTAATATCGTTAGGCGAGGGTCCACTGTATAAGCACTTAAGTCTTAGAATTAACAAAGAAACAAAGGTATTAGATAAGAGATAACCTGTAGCTGTAATAAGTGTTACTTTGTACACAGAAAAAAGGTAAACATAACTTTGTGTGACTGACTGACTGAATGAATGACTTTCTAAATGACTTACTTACTCAATGACTGACTTACTGAGTGACTTGAATGACTTACTGAATGACTTGACTGACTTACTGAGTGACTTGACTTACTGAATGACTTAAATTTAGATACTCCAGTACAACCATTGACTTCAGTACCAGTACCTCTACCATCCACCTCAGCCCAGTAGGGCCACAACATAACTCTCCACCCACTTCACTATCATCCACAAACACCAGCACCTACAATTTAAGGTAAGAAATACTATTATTTCTGTTACATTTTTCGTCTTAAGCAGTAAAAACAACATAATACATCACAACAATGAACTATAACTTCATATTCACTTTTATTTTTGCAAGATGTGGAGGCCTAAAAGAAAGTTGTTTGGCTTTTTGGGGGCTCCCAGGAATGTAACCCTATTTTTCTAATAAGTTCTTCAGTTCATCTAACACGATTTTACCTAACAAGGCATTATCAGGAACATAACTACCATGCTAAATGACAGTCAACTGTATGTCAAAAAATGGGCTTGCAACTGTCAAAGGGCTTGTGACAGTCAATGGGTTAAGAGTCAAATGACCAAAAAATATTCCTAATAATTTGGGATACTCCTCATATATAATAAAGAATTTTATTTTACCTCAGCTAGCATCTCGTGGTGTCTGCTTTCTCTACGTATAGTGCCAGGTTGAGCATTATGCTGTTCCATTACTGAAAATTGCTTAGTCAACTCGTAGAAACGACTCCGAATCTTATCCACAGTTGTAGAGTATGATGCTTCTTTCTCCAGCTT